CAAAACAGAGCTACCAGGAAGCAATCTACTTCAGTTCTTCTTCGTAATTTTATGTGGGTGCTAGTCCTTGGTATAGATATATCCTTGATACCATTACCGGAGGGAATTTCTTGGGTAGCCATACTTTTGATTCTTATAATGCTATGATAGGCTTATTTGGCTCACCACCTCTTTTGGTTAATGGAACTATGTTAACTTTGGAGCATGTTATGCAAAGGCTTGAAATTATTGAAAACAAAGTTGCTACTATTGAATCAATTGAAAATCTAGATAAAAAGATTCATAGTCAAATCACTCAATATGGGTCTAAGGTAGGAATAACTTTGAAAAATATTAAGGAGAAGGAACCCATGGTAGATGAGAAAATAAATCTAGATTCCTCTAGAATCGATAAACTTGAGGGTATCATTACCAATTTGGGAACCGCTTTTTCTTTCGCAAAGAATACTCCTAGTCCTCCCACTAAAATTGCTAAGCTTATGTATGTTCCTAAGAATAATGGTGAATCATCTAGTAAGGAAACTGCGAATCTTAAATCTATAAGTATTCACCCCGATATTTTTGATTTCATTAAGGAACCATTTGCTACAAATGAATTTTTGATCTTGTGCCTAAAAGTTTGATAATTACCAAAAATAAAGAGATCTCTAAGAAACGTAGATGCTTCATTGAAGGATTGCCTTCCAAAGATGGCAATACCTAGATCTATCCTCGCTTTTATGCCTAGCTAAGGGCGTTAAACGATAGCGCTTGTTGGGAGGCAACCCAATTTTTTGTTTTTTTTTGTTTTTCTTATGTTAGGGAATAAATAACCCATCTTCCCTCTGTTTGGATGTGGTTTTGTGTTTTAATTAGTGTTTGCGCCAAGCTAGACCTATTGGATCTTCTTGGATGATAGTTATTTGATCTTGCTGTAATTTCCAGAAACTTTGCGTTCAGTGCCCGAATTACTAAAAATCATCAGAACGTGATAAAATACTGATTCCAATTGCTTATGATCAATAAACAAATTATCTAGGTCTTATAATTTTGGTAGAGTTTTTGGAGTTCCATAAGTTTGCGTTAGTTACAGATTACTACAGACTGTTCTGTTTTTGACAGATTCTGTTTTTCGTGTGTTGTTTGCTTATTTTGATGAATCTATGGTTAGTAAAATAGTTTATAATCCATAGAGAAGTTGGAATACAGTAGGTTTAACACCAAAATAAATAAAGAATGAGTTCATTAAAGTACCTTGAATTGGTTTTATGTTTTCTTTCTCTACCAGAGCTCACGAGATTTCTATTGAGTTTTGTGTTGTGAAGTTTTCAAGTTTTGGGGGAGTTCTTTTGATGGATTATGGAACAAGGAGTGGCAAGAGCCTAAGCTTGGGGATGCCCATGGCACCCCCAAGATAATCCAAGGACACCAAAAAGTCAAAGCTTGGGGATGCCCTGGAAGGCATCCCCTCTTTCGTCCACTTCCATCGGTAATTTACTTGGAGCTATATTTTTATTCACCAACATGATATGTGTTTTGCTTGGAGCATCTTGTATTATTTGTGTCTTTGTTTGTTAGTATGCTACAATCATCCTTGCTGTACACACCTTTTGAGAGAGCCATACTTGAATTGAAATTTTATAAAATACTCTATGTGCTTCACTTAAATCTTTTGAGCTATGTAGTTTTGCTCTACGTGCTTCACTTATATCTTTTGAGCGTTATAATTTTGCTCTATGTGCTTCACTTAGATCTTTTAGAGCACAGTGGTGGTTTGTTTTAAAAGAACTATTGATCTCTCATGCCTCACTTAAATTATTTTGAGAGTCTTAATAGCACGGTAATTTGCTTAATATAAATATGCTTGGTGTTCAAGATATGTGAAATTTTCTTTTGAGTGCGTTGAATACTAAGAGAAGATTGAAGCATGATAATTTTTTTGAGATATGGAGGTGATAATATTAAAGTCATGCTAGTTGAGTAGTTGTGAATTTAAAGAATACTGGTGTTGAAGTTTGTGATTCCCGTAGCATGCATGTATGGTGAACCGTTATGTGATGAAGTCGGAGCATGATTTATTTATTGATTGTCTTCCTTATGAGTGGCGGTCGGGGACGAGCGATGGTCTTTTCCTACCAATCTATTCCCCTAGGAGCATGCGCGTAGTACTTTGCTTTGATAGCTTCTAAATTTTTCCAATAAGTATATGAGTTCTTTATGACTAATGTTGAGTCCATGGATTATACGCACACTCACCCTTCCACCATTGCTAGCCTCTCTAATACCGCGCAACTTTCTCCGGTATCATACACCTACCATATACCTTCCTCAAAACAGCCACCATACCTACCTATTATGGCATTTCCATAGCCATTCCAAGATATATTTCCATGCAACTTTCCACCATCTAGTTCATCATGACACATTCATCATTGTCATATTGCATATCCCGGTACACCGCCGGATGCATTCACACAGAGTCATATTTTGTTCTAAGTATCGAGTTGTAATTGTTGAGTTGTAAGAAAAATAAAACTGTGATGATCATCATTATTAGAGCATTGTCCCAGCGAGGAAAGAATGATGGAGACTATGATTCCCCCACAAGTCGGGATGAGACTCCGGACGAAAAATAAAAAAAGAGAGGCCAAAGAAGCCCAAACAAATGAGAGAAAAGAGAGAAGGGACAATGTTACTATCCTTTTACCACACTTGTGCTTCAAAGTAGCACCATGATCTTCATGATAGAGAGTCTCTCGTTATGTCACTTTCATATACTAGTGGGAATTTTTCATTATAGAACTTGGCTTGTATATTCCAATGATGGGCTTCCTCAAATTGCACTAGGTCTTCGTGAGCAAGCAGTTGGATGCACACCCACTTAATTTCTTTTGATGAGCTTTCATATACTTATAGCTTTAGTGCATCCGTTGCATGGCAATCCCTACTCACTCACATTGATATCTATTGATGGGCCTCTCCATAGCCCGTTGATACGCCTAGTTGATGTGAGACTATCTTCCCCTCTTTTTGTCTTCTCCACAACCACCCTTCTATTCCACATAGTGCTATGTCCATGGCTCACGCTCATGTATTGCGTGAAGATTGAAAAAGTTTTGAAAAGTTAGAGTATGAAACAATTGCTTGGCTTGTCATCGGGGTTGTGCATGATTTAAATACTTTGTGTGGTGAAGATAGAGCATAGCCACACTATATGATTTTGTAGGGATAACTTTCTTTGGCCATGTTATTTTGAGAAGACATAATTACTTTATTAGTATGCTTGAAGTGTTATTATTCTTTATGTCAATATGAAATTTTGTCTTGAATCTTTCTAATCTGAATATCCATACCACAATTAAGAAATTTTGCATTGAAATTATGCCAAGTAGCACTCCACATCAAAAATTCTCTTTTTATCATTTACCTACTCAAGGACGAGCAGGAATTAAGCTTGGGGATGCCTGATACGTCTCCAACATATCTATTATTTTTGATTGCTCCATGCTATATTATCTACTGTTTTGGACTATATTGGGCTTTATTTTCCACTTTTATATTATTTTTGGGACTAACCTATTAACCGGAGGCCTAGCCCAGAATTGTTATTTTTTGCCTATTTCAGTGTTTCGAAGAAACAGAATATCAAACGGAGTCCAAACAGAAAAATCCTTTTTGGAATGTTATTTTCTTCTCGGATAAGACCCAGGAGACTTGGACCCTACTCCAAGAAGTATCGGAGGCGGTCACGAGGGTAGGGGGTGCCCCCCTACAGGGCGTGCCCCCCTGCCTCGTGGCCCCCTCGGTGCTCCACCGACGTACTCCATCCTCCTATATATACCCATGTAGCCCCAACCGATCAGAACAGGAGCCAAAAACCTAATTCCACTGCCACAACTTTCTGTATCCATGAGATCCCATCTTGGGGCCTGTTCCGAAGCTCCGCTGGAGAAGGCCGTCATCACGGAGGGCTTCTACATCATCATAGCCCCTCCGGTGAAGTTTGAGTAGTTTACCTCAGACCTTCGGGTCCATAGTTAGTAGCTAGATGGCTTCTTCTCTCTTTTTGGATCTCAATACAATGTTCTCCCCCTCTCTTGTGGAGATCTATTCGATGTAATCTTCTTATTTTGCGGTGTGTTTGTCGAGACCGATGAATTGTGGGTTTATGATAAAGTCTATCTATGAACAATATTTGAATCTTCTCTGAATTATTTTGTCTATGATTGGTTATCTTTGCAAGTCTCTTCGAATTATCCGTTTGGTTTGGCCAACTAGATTGGTAGTTCTTGCCATGGGAGAAGTGCTTAGCTTTGGGTTCGATCTTGCGGTGTTCTTTCCTAGTGACAGAAGGGGCAGCAAGACACATATTGTAGCGTTGCCATCGAGGATAACAAGATGGGGTTTATTTCATATTGCATGAATTTATCTCTCTACATCATGTCATCTTGCTTAAAGCGTTACTCTGTTTTTAACTTAATACTCTAGATGCATGCTGGATAGCGGTCAATGAGTGGAGTAATAGTAGTAGATGCAGAATCGTTTCGATCTACTTGTCACGGACGTGATGCCTATATACATGATCATGCCTAGATATTCTCATAACTATGCTCAATTCTGTCAATTGCTCAACAGTAATTTGTTCACCCAGCGTAGAAAACTTATGCTCTCGAGAGAAGCCACTTGTGAAACCTATGGCCCCCGGGTCTATTCTCGTCATATCAATCTCCATCACTTTAATCTTGTTTTGTTTTTTACTTTGCCTTTTACTTTTCACTTTGCATCTTTATATCAAAAATACCAAAAATATTATCTATCGGATCTCACTTCCGTAAGTGACCGTGAAGGGATTGACAACCCCTAATCGCGTTGGTTGCGTTGAGCTCTTTGTGATGTGTAGGTACGAGGGACTTGCTCATGGCCTCCTACTCGATTGATACCTTGGTTCTCAAAACCTGAGGGAAATACTTACGCTACTCTGCTGCATCATCCCTTCCTCTTCAGGGGAAACCAACTCAAGCTCAAGACGTAGCAGATGGACAGAGGTCAGAATAGGTGCACCTCCTTCTTTCGAAGGAGGCTGCTTGCCTGACTCCGGAGCCGTATGGGCCTCTGAAATAGTATTCAGCTAGGGGCCAAATTGGACATGGCCCCCATCGCCAGTCTCCAGGGGGATTTTCTCCTCCATGTGTCCGGCGGCCGAGGTATCTGTGACGCCCCAAGACCGGTGCTCCGAATGCCTTCCATGCTTTCCGAGATTCATTGTGTGATTTGTTTTTGCTTGTTGCATTCATCATTGCATTATGTGCATTGCATCATGTCATCATGCCATCATGTCTTTAATCTTTCCAACTCAACTAATTAAACCGTATGGATCTTTGTACCATTTAAATCGAGGGAATTCACATGGTGAAATTCTCTTTAAAACATACCAAAGTCTCTTACTATTATTAGGGAGCTATTAAAAATATTCCAATAATTTGGAATTACCCATAAACACACTTGCAAATATTCCCCATGTCTTTTCTACTTCAAGTTTGACTTCAAAACCTTGCCCGCAATTCTCTTCCCATTTGCCGAGGTTCCTCCAAAAATTTCAAGATTTTTGGACACTTCAAAAACCAAGTCCTAGTTCAAACCCATTTGAATTAAATTCAAATGAGTTTGAATTTACGTCTTTCAATCTTGGCCATTTCTATTTTCTCAGATCAAGCACATTTTTATGAGTCCGGGGAAATTAACCTCATGCCAAATTCTACTCCTAACCCCTTCCTTTTCTTCTCCTTTCCTTTGTTATTTTCCTATTTTTTGGAGATTAGTGATTAGTGAGAGATCGGTGATAAGGCCATCAGCCTAGCCATGCAGACCCATCTGCGCCTAGGGGAAGCCCCTCCCCCCTCCTCTGTACTGGGCCTGCCTATAAGGCCCAACCACCCTAACCCTAGCCCACACCCAGCGCCCATCTCACCCCTCGCTCCCTTCCCCTCGTTCCCTCTGCACGCCGCCGCTTGCACGATCCCTCTCGCAATTCTCTCGACCCATCCTCGCGGTCAAGCCCCACGCCCGCACAGCTCCATCCCTGCAGCCCTCCTCACTCGATCTTGAGCGCCCCAGCGCCGCACCTCGCCGCCACTTGCTCCAACGACCAGCACCAATGAGCACCGCCACCTTATGTGACCCCTCTCCCTCGCATCCTCGCCATTGTCCTGCGCGCAGCGCCCGGGGACCCTGCTGCTCGCCGGTGACCCATGCCCCGCTGCCGAAAATCGTGAGGCCGCAACCTCCTCCTCGTCCAGTGACGCTGCCCGATGCGCGAGCTCCACCGCGCCGTTCATCTCTTCCACCGGCGCATCCAAGTCCCACGTTGGCCTCGCCGTTCAGATCTGCGCCAAGCTCCGATGACCTCCTGACCTCTGCACCCGGGCACTCATCCCCGTCTTCCCGGCCTCCTCCGTGTCCCCTGGCTGCCTCTGTTTGCATCGAGCAGAAGTAGCTCGTCGCTCAGCGCCATGGCACCCGCGCCCTCAAGCTCTTGCACTAGCCTCGCCTTCTTGCGCCACCTTGCCTTGGTCGTTCGACCCCAAGCCACCACCTCGCACCGCGGTCTTCATCCACCAAGGATGCCAAGACCCTTTCGTGGATGCGTCAAGTACCCCTGCCGCGTCTACGAAATCACCAAGTATCACTTTGTCACATGCTCTAACGACCATCACACTGGAACGCCATGTACATGGATACGCCGAGTTCCTCCCTAAATGTGTGTACGACTATCGTGGCCGAAGACCCGTGTACAACTACCGTCGCCCCGAAGACATTGGATTCGTCAAGTACCTATCCGAAAATGAACGTGCACCACTACTACCCACTGCGCCCGTGTACGACTACTTCCGTCTACACCCCGTCGAACTCGAACCGCTATGGAAATGCACGCTTCAAAGGTATAACGTCAGGACAACCGCCATGGACGAATGTTGTGTGATGTATGAGATGAACCCCGTGTTTGCACCGTGCCTGTTTGTTTCATGCACGTCCCTCGGTTGCCATGCCACCGACACATGGGACACCCGGTATCCGGGAGCACCCCACCATCCTTGCATGACACGCTCCCGTCACATTTCCTTTTGCACCGGTATCTCCATGAGCTACCGGAACCGATATGTTGCCGTGGCATCATTTTCAGATTCATTTCCGTGGCACCCCTTTCGTTTCCTCCATGATGACAAATGCTTCATAACATGCTCTTATCAACATTTTCATACAAAATGCATAAAACTTGCAAATGTCATCCGCAACATGATAACAACATCAAGAATGTTTAAATTGTTGTTTCTTGTTTTCGGCCTCATTTAAACTTGCCTAAATAGCTAGTTTATATATGTTTCACCTCTTGCCTTGTTTAACAATGTTTAATATTGATGAGTGCATAACCGAGAGAAACCTAAATAAGTCATGTGGTGTTTTTTCAATATGCAACTCATTGCATATTGAGCTCCGCTTAACTTGTAGTGTTGTTTGTGCACTTTGCCATGCCATGCCTCTTTAAACCGGACATGCACCATACTTTATTGTGCCTCATGTTATGTTTATGCTTGTTGGTTTACCATGTTGTTTGCTCCTTTCTGGTGTTGCTTCTTCTTGTTAGTTCCGGTAACGTCGCGTTTGTGAGGATCCGTTCGACTACACCCGTTTGTCTTCTTCATGGAGTCGTTCTTCTTCCTTGCGGGATTTTAGGCAAGGTGACCATTACCCTCGATATCACTTCTATCTTTGCTTGCTAGTTGTGCATTGTACCGCTATGTCGCTCTACCTACCACTTGTTTATCATGCCTCCCATATTGGCATGTCAAGCTTCTAACCCAACTTCCTAGCAAACCATTGTTTGGCTATGTTACCACTTTTGCTCAGCCCCTCTTATAGCGTTGTTAGTTGCAGGTGAAGTTGAAGCTTGCTCCATCTTGGAACATGTTTATGATGGGATATCATATTATCTCTTATTTAAATTTATGCATCTATATACTTGGTAAAGGGTGGAAGGCTCGGCCTTTTGACTGGTGTTTTGTTCCACTCTTGCCGCCCTAGTTTTTCGACATACCGGTGTTATGTTACTTGATTTTGCGTTCCTAACGCGGTTGGGGTTAGGGACCCCCTTGACAGTTCACTTTGAACAAAACTCCTCCAGCAAGGCCCAACCTTGGTTTTAACATTTGTCACCTATACCTTTTCCCTTGGGAGTCGTGCTCCCGAGGGTCATCTTTATTTTAACCCCCCCGGGCCAGTGCTCCTCTGAGTGTTGGTCCAAAACAGAGCCACTTGCGGTGCCGCCCCTAGGAAAGTTGGGGTATTTTGGTTGTCGTACATAGTGTTCATCCGGTGTGCCCTAAGAACGAGATATTGTGCAGCTCCTATCAGGATTTGTCGGCACATTCAGGCGGTCTTGCTGGTCTTGTTTTACCATTGTCGAAATGTCTTCTAACCGGGATTCCATGTCTGATTGGGTTGTTCCGGGAGAAGGAATATCCTTTGTTGATCATGAGAGCTTGTTATGCGCTAAGTTGGGACACGCCTGCAGGGTATAAACATTCAAGAGCCGTACCCGCGGTTATGTGGCAGATGGGAATTTGTTAATATCCGGTTGTAGAAAACTTAACTCTTGACTTAATTAAAATGAATCAACCGCGTGTGTAGTCGTGATGGTCTCTTTTCGGCGGAGTCCGCGAAGTGAACACGGTCTTGGGTTATGTTTGAACGTAAGTAGTTTCAGGATCACTTCTTGATCACTTATAGCTTTTCGACCGTTGCATAGCTTCTCATCTTACTCTTAGCTGCGTATGTTAGCCACCATATTTGCTTAGCATTTGCTGCAGCTCCACCTCATTACCTTATCCTACCCGTAAGCTTAAATAGTCTTGATCTTGAGGGTTTTGAGATTGCTGAGTCCTCGTGACTCACGGATTCTTCAAAAACAGTTGCAGGTGCTGATGATACCAGTGCAGGTGACACAACCGAGCTTAAGTGGGAGCTCGATGAAGATCTTGGTCGTTGTTATGTGTCTTTTCCGGATGATCAGTAGTGCTGCCCAGTTGGGACGATCGGGGACCTTGATTGTACTCTGGATGATATATGTCTAACTTTTTATTTGTGTGTAGTGGCGATTGTAAGCCAATTCTTTATCCCTTTCTTATTCAGTACATCATATTGTGTGAAGATTACCCCTCTTGTGACAAAACCACCATGCGGCTATGCATCTAAGTCGTGCCTCAACACGTGGGAGATATAGCCGCATCGTGGGCGTTACAAGTTGGTAATCGGAGCCATCCCCGACTTAAGAGCCCTCTGCTTGATCGAATCACTAACATTCTTGAGTCTAGAACAAAATGATTTGAGTCTTAGGATTATATATATCGGAGAGTAGGATTCTTTTTACTCCTCAGTCCCTTCGTCGCTTTGGTGAAGTCTCTTGATGTATTTGTTTTGACTTTCCTCTCCTCAAATTTCATGAATTTTTTTTAGGATCACGCGGGTATCTTGGGATCGTTTCGATATTCTTGTGATGAGAACATTGTTCTTGGTGCCTCCTGACATTTATGGGTTGTGGAAGTGTCCCGGGGAGTTGAGCTCCGAGGTGTTGTCATCACAATTTTATCGTTGCAGTTCTAGAATACCTGAGTTCACCAACATTGAAAATCTGTTTTATGCAGTTGTTGGTGAGATAACCTCGACGCCACCTAGTACTGGGGCGGGAGTTTGGGAGTATTGCCATAGCTTGTATAACGGATGCTTTTCGAAGGTTGAGGTACACGATTTCCAGAGTTTTCTTGGTTACGTGTTGACGGATGGATACAGTTGCAGCGTAGGGCTTGTTAGTTGTGTGATATATATTGTGCCTCCCTGTATCACCAACACCAGATTGCATAACCAGAAAGTTTCGGGAGTTTATAGGTGGGAATTCAAGTAGCTCCTAGAATGTCTTTCCGACAGATGCATGATATGAGATTGGGGTTCGACGTCTAGTGGTCCGCCTATCCATGGTTGGTTTTACAGTGGTCTCGTTGTGTCTGAAAGAGTCCTTGGCTATGCTGACTTAGGGACGCTTCGTATGTCATGTGCACTACCTTGTACATGATGGGGCTATACGATCGAGCCCGTGTGGGCCCCACCATGAAAATTTCGAACAAAATATCTATCATATGTTTGTTTCTGCTTATTTTGCAAGCCAATCCTTTGTTTTGTTTTGAGTTGTGGTATTTGAGTTGCTTCAAAGTCAAATGATTCCATACCTTTCCTAAGCAGTGTTCCCATATTACTATGGGAATACTAATCCTTCTTGATCATCAAGGTTGTCTTGTTACTTCTTTTCCCAACCGGCATGCTTCTCGTCAAGATGATCCTATCATCTTCCCCGTTCGCAAGATCACTTCTCAGTTTTCCCAATGTTGTTCATTTCATTTGTCCCCAAGTTGTCTTTGTTTTCCCCGTCCTCCCACCCTTTTCTTCAAGGATTCAGATTTCTTAATCAAGTATCCATCTTATGGATGTGAAGACTATTCATTCTTTTCTTTCAATGTTCTTATCCGGTGATTGTCATGAAGATGGTCACAAGTTTCAAGTTCATCATTCATCATTCATTTCTTCTCCGGTGGATTCAATTCAAGCTTTGTCGATCATATCCTTTCCTCATTTCAAATGTTTTCTCATGCCGGTGCACCTCTTAATCATTCACTTCTCACCATTCATTTGTTCTGGAGTACTGAAGATATCTCAGGAGATTCTTGTTTTCATTCCTAATCCGTTCAAGCTATCTCGAGGTTATTATCTCATTCAAATCATTTAATTCAACCAGTGCAATCTCTCTTTCAAGCGACCATTCCCAACGGTGTTCTTTTGAGTGGCCCCTAACCCACAAGTCTTTTTCCAGGATCTTACCTGACTCTTCTTTTTTCCGGAGCTATTCCCAAATTCTTTTCAAAGTTTGACATAAAAATGATTTCTCATCAGTCAAATGTATCCTCCAAGTTCGCTTTCATATTCTTTTCATCGCTGGTTCAACATTTTTATTCTTCATTATGGAGTGCCTCAACAATTCATGGTGGTGTTTCTCATCACCATTCTCGGATTTTGAAGACCGAAGAAGAGTTTCTCTTCAATCATATGTGTTCTCTTGAAGATTCATGGTTCTAGCTTGATTCCATCCTCTCATAATTGTTTTAGATTGTGAGAATTCTTTTCACCCATCCAGAACAATCCAATAGTGTTTTCAGTTTGATTCTCCGAAGGCCATCATTTCGGGTTTATTCATTCTCAGCTTTCAGCTCTCATTCTCCAAATCTTAATGGTGGTTCATTCAAGAGTTCTCTTCCTTGCTTATCATACCAATTCATTCGTTCTTTCCAATCCTACCGGTGGTTGATGAAGATTTTCCCAAGTTTGCACTATATATCCTCAATCCTTTTCAAGAAGAATAAGTGGCATGCCAATGTCGT